AAAAGCTAGAAAAAAAACTTTTACTTAAAAAATACTTAATTTTATTTTTAAATATGTATTTAAAAAAAAATATGTTTTTAATATTTGTATTCTCATTAATTATCATATATTATCATTTATTATTATTATTATCATGTTTAAATAAAAAGGTTTAAATTTGTTTTAGTTTTATTGTATATTTGTATACCTACTATTATAATTTTAAAGAATTGTTTTTATTGATGGGGGCCCACAATCGTGTATTAGCTCCCTAAGGTCTTAATCTGAGCTTGCTATTATCATGTTAAAATAGCCAAAAATTAATATTGCTAATTATCCATAGATGTAGATTAGTCTTATAGGCTAGGACTGTCTTATTGTTTATAAATTTAAAAAAAAATTAAGGATGTCATGTTAGAAACTAAGGTAATAATAAATGAAGTATAAACTAATAATATATCTGATTTTCTTACTTTTTTCGTAATTAGCACGTAATTATTTAGATAACTACTAAAGTATACTAAAATGTATGTTCATTAGGTGGACATCAAGATCCGGATAGTCATGTCTTGTAATCATAGACCTTATACCACAGATTATATAATCTGTGCTTATACTAAAACTGGCCTAGTATATTAAGGTCTATGGCCACTCTATGTTTGTAATAAATAGTTATCCCATAGAGTAATATTACTCTATGAATTATCATCATGACTTATCAGACTTATGAACATAATGATAACGAAATCGGCAGTCAGCACGTCAACTTACTCGGCAGGCCGTGAGTGCCTGTGGCCAACCACCAGTACCAAAACTCGTGTTTTTGTGATAAGCTGATCACTTGTATCATGGTCGTTACGATTTCACGAGTTTAAAAACTAAATTATTTCAGGCACACCGTCACAGTAATATTTATCTATTCTGTGGTAATACAGTTAAAATCCTATAATCACAATTCACAAGTGACCACAATTTCTGTACTCTCAGAAAACTATTGTAGTGTTAGACGTAGATTTAAACGTTTCGTGAATAAAGAGAATYGTGTTTTCATCGTTATTGTATAGCTGCTTTTGGTGTTYAAAATATTTCTCTGTTGTTTTAAATTTTGATAAGGAAACTCGTGAGTCGTGTATGACAGTACCGTAAGTTTGTTGTGCTGTTGCTTAAAAATTAACGGTGGTACCTATCTGAATTTGTGAATTTAATATCCTTTATTTATTTATTTATTTCACATAGTACGTACCGAAAACATACGATTTAATATGTGTTCTTTGAGAGATTTCCCTGAACTACGGGATTGCAGTATTACAGATAAGAATGCATCCATGGCATTAGTAATCAAAAGAGTGAAACCTGAGGTTGGTCATTCARRAATCAGTTATTATTTATCCAGTGTACCTACCACATTAACTAATTTATATATTATAGGCAATTAATTACCCTAATATTGTGATTCAGTTGAAAGGAGATCAAAATCCTGAACCTTTATTTTTACCAACTTCAGGACTAACAACATTTCAACAAATTCTAAATAAATTGTAAGTACATTATTAAATATTTTAAATAAGTAAAAGAAAGAAAAGCTTTTAATTTATCATAATGTATTTTGTTTGCCATTTGGATAACTAATAAAAAATAACATATTTTATATGTTATTGAATGATGTTTTTTACTGTTCTTTGTAATAACAATTTTATAGGTATCTAGTTTTGTTATGTTTTTACAGTGTTGAAGAAAACTTTTGGACTGCTTGTGATGAAGTAACAAAATATTTCAAAAGAAATCCAAGTAATCTATCAATTCTTATGTATCCGTTGGGAGTAATAATGAAATTTTCTCCTCGCGCAAGTTTGAAGGTAAATATTGCATAAATACTTAATTTATGATTCACAAATACTGCAAGGTTTCTTTTAAAATTTTAACACCTTTTTTCATTTATTTGATTTATTGTAATTAATAATATAATGAATACAATAAATTTATATAATCTAATCATATAAATTGTTGATAGTTGGTACCTAATACTTCACAAATTTAGAAGAAACTTTTAGTGAAATAAAT